CAAAGCCTGCTGCTCTAAACTCTGGGGAAGGAGCATTACATTAAAAGTGCAGTAATGACGAGGCTAAGACATCCTCTCATTCTACTGTAAGTGTTGCCACAGTGCTTGCCCTCAGTTTTGTTAGAACCATGACAGAAAATGGTGAGAAACTATGACAAAGCAATTAACTTCACATACTACTTACAAAACAAACTCTTATATAAATTCCTCATGGAGTGATTACAGACATGTTGCTGCGTAGATATTTTCTCCTCTTGATACAACTTACTAATTAAAGTCAAATACTGAAACTTGTATTCTTCCAGGCCAGCAAGTTAACACAAGAGCAGATCACCGAGTACAAGAGAGTGTTTGAGATGTTTGATGAAGAGGGAAATAGAGATGTGAAGACACAGGCGATGGAGAGGCTGATGGGTTTAATCGGGATCAATCCTAAAGAGAGAGAGGTCAGCCAGATGGCCAAAGATGGTAAATATAAATCTGCATTGACTGCCAACACCACATGTGTATCTTTCTCTTAAATACATTTAGCTTGGCTCTTTGACCTTCTGACATTCTTTGAAATAATAATAGTTAGACGACTACAAGCACCTGTGCCAGTATGTCACCTCGTCTTCCAATTTATTATGTGAAACAAAACTGGATCTTAAATGCCAATCTAGATTAATAGCACACATTTTAGGCGAGCAACATCTTCCAAACCATTATAATAAAACTAAATATTATCTAATACTGCAGTATTCTGCTTAACTGCAGCCTGCCACATCAAACAGTAGGTGTCAGTGTTTCACCGTGTTTTATATAATGGGATATAGTTCATAAAAAGCATAGTTGCATCTCACACCAACACATCCAAAATATGATTTAAATTGGGTGGTAATGTATAAGTATGTTGGAAAAATATTTACTGCTTATTTAATATCTTTCAGTTTTTGTGGCCATGATGACTGGGGACTCATTCAAAATGAGCCGAAGAACTTGTGGATACTCTGCAACTGTTGTTACATTCACTCACAATTATAAAACAAGTAAATTCATTATAACGTTCTTAACATATGTCTAACAAACTGAAATGTGTGCAATCACATAAGATAAGGTTGTGCAATAACTCTGTATAACAAATCACCTCTGGCTGGCAGAGAACTAACTGCTCCATAGCTTCTCTTTGGTTAACTTCAAAATGAATATTTAATTTAATTCTCCATTCATTACACACTTAACCCTCTGGAGTCTAAGGGTATTTTCTCGATTTTTAGATGTTTTCTTAAATCACCTTTTAAATGTATTTCTTCTAAAATGGCACCCATGTGTTACATATCAAAATGTTCAGGACAATCTCTAGTATTGCTATATATGCAAATTACTCACCTTAGAGCACTGTTTGATGAGATAAGTAGCTCAAAAGCTTAAAATTTGACATCCGATTTTCGGAAAATCTTCAAAACTCTTGTGAAAACACAAATTTACTCATGTGATCGAATTGTTTTGGTGTTTTAGATTTGGTTACCAAAGTCTTAGGATTACAAAAGTAGTGAAATATTTGAATTAAACTGTATATAAATGTGTTATTCATGTCTAAAATGAAATTTTATAAATTCGCATTCTGAGTAAAACAGCTGTCAATCACTCTACTTTCACCACAGCAGGGACTGAGATACATCAGGACTGAATAATGACTTCATATTACATAATAAGGTTCATGTGATGTGTAAAAAAAGAAAAGAATTGAGCATTAGAACTTTTTTTTTTTCAACCAACAATTTATTATAATACCAACAATGTATATATATTAGGGCTGTCAAACGATTACAATTTTTAATCAGATTAATCACAGCTTAAAAATTAATTAATCATGATTAATCACCATTCGAACTATGTCCAAAATATGCCATTTATTTATGCATATTGTTGTGGGAATGGGAAGATAAATGAAAGAAGGCAGATATATCCATTTAACATACAGTATATCTATGTTTATTAAAAAAAAATGTTGAGTGTCAAAATGAAAGACAACCCACACACCTATCAATCATCAAACCGTGGGGTCTTAATTAATTCCTTTGTGACACAAGTGACGGTACGCATTTCAGAGAGATTACGCACATAACCTGCGTACCAGTTAGGGACTTCCTGCAACAACACCACGCCGTTATCAAAGATGTTCTATTGAGAAGACGATCACTACGTGACAAACGTTTTCAAAACCGTGGCTACTGAAATCAATTTTACTAACTGCTGTCTGTGCAATTTACTCCGCGCGAGTTGGCAGACTTTATTTTGCTTCCTTTAACATCATTTTTCATGGTGGGGCTAAGCCATTTCTTGGTATGGGTGTAGCCTACCCCAGCCATACCCTGGCGCTGCCACTGGTGGCACGTATGGGGCGGGCCATTCTGCACATGCGTTAAATGCGTTAAATATTTTAACGCAATTAATTCAAAAAATTAATTACCGCCGTTAACGCGATAATTTTGACAGCACTAATATAAATATAACTGCAACATCTCACTATTTACAATATTGAACATCAGAACTTTTTTTCCTTCAACCAACTATTCATTATACACTGACAAAATGATCCTTCCTCCAGTAGTCAAATACATTGTCCAGTTTCAGCAGGGCCATGTATTTATAGAAATCCTCTACAGTCAAGTCAGTCCATTTGTAGGTTTTACCCTTTCCCATCTCCTGTGCAGCCCGCTTGTTTGTGTTGGTACAGAGTGTCTGTACTGTTAGTGCACTGAAGAACAGCTTGAACAGGTCAAGGGGTTTGTTTGATACTGTTGAGCTGAGGCCCGGGTGTGCGAGCAGGTTGAAACCTGGAGACAGGGGGAGCAGTGTCAGGGTCTTCGCCTGTCTTCCAAGACAGTGGAGCTGGCTGCTGTGCAGGTGGGGGTGATGGTGCATGGGCAGCTGGTGGCTGTGTGGGAGGTAGTGTGCTCTACGAGACCTCTTTGCTGTCCCGGTTGATGGTGATGGCTGTGGCTGTGGTGGAGCTGAGGTGTATCTTGACCTCGTTGCAGGCAGAGATGGAGGCAGCTGTCGTGATGCTGGTCCGCTAGTCCTTGGTGGGGATGGCAGTGGTAAAGGCCCTTGATCCACGGTAGATCTCAACATGGTGGCAGGCACAGCTGGAGGCTCCTGGATAAATGTCATCTGTGGGCTGCTAGACACACACACACACACACACACACACACACACACACACACACACACACACACACACACACACACACACACACACACACACACACACACACACACACACACACCTCTCCGTTGTGGGACAAATAAAGGATTATCTCATGCATCTACACATGTAACCTTACTTATACACACCAAAATAACGTTTACACATACAGTTTATCACAGACACACATGTAAATAAGTCTATGACAAAGTCTCATCTGTACAGAACAGTATGATCAAATAAAATACATGTCTATAAATGTCTCCGTTGTGGGACGAATAAAGGATTATTTGTATTCATCTACACATGTAACCTTACTTATACATGCCAAAATAACGTTTACACATAAATAACATTTACACAGAGTAAACGTTTACTAATCAAGAGTCTATTTTGTCCCGAGAAAAAGTTCATGAGGGGAAAATAAAAAGGTTGATAAATCCATTGTTCATTTTCGCGGTACTCCTCACAAAATGGCAAATGCACTACAAGTTATATTTACACTTACCCATCCTCAAATGGATCCCTGCTGTCCCTGTATTCTTCTTCTTCAGAAGAGTCGAAGCCTTCAGGTTCTGATGAGCCATCTTCTTCACTGCCGCTCTCGAAAATAAAATCCAGCGCGTCCGCAACGGTAGAGTTCCTTCGAGCCATTTTCTCTATCTTCTTCACAGACTAAAAGACTGAAACTGATGGGAGACACCTGTTATATGTTTTTTTTATTGGTGGGTAGGTCCTTAGATTTCTAGAGTGTCCATTGGTCATTTCAGACCGACATGGCTGCCGGCCGGCCGGCCGAGATGTCCTTGACTGACACACAAATCCACCAATCACACACAGTGTAACGCCGAATCAAGCTGCTTTGAGCGGCAATATTGGCTGCTGTGCCCTGGGTACAGTCTCACAGGAGATACTCTTGAAAAGCTACGATTCTAGCGATTCCGCAGATATCTGAATCATATTTCTACTCCTTACAAGCGAAAATCTATGATTAAATACGTAAATAATGTGCACTTGGACGCGCCGGCGCGTCCACCGACTCCAGAGGGGTTTAATGTAAATAATATCCTGCTTTATATTGTGTTAACTGAAAATTGGCCCTTCAATAGTGTTTTATTTATCAGATAGTTTATAGATTTGTTATCTTCACGGTGAACTGTATTTACTCTCTAATGCCGGTTTATTTATATTTGTAGATGTTTATATTTTAGAATTGTTTATTTCTAATCTTTTAATTTCTAATGATGTACAATGCCTTGTTTTTTAATGCTGCAGCAATGAAAATATTTCCCAATTTGGGATCAATAAAGTATACCTTATCTTATATCCCACTGGAAGAATACAAAATACAACGTCAACCAATGCCTCCTAATAAACATCAACGCACCATTTTCATCAGCAGGCCTAATAAAAATAAATTAAAGAACATGATCAATAATTGATTTATTTGTAATGCTTGATCCTGCTTCAAATACACTGGTAATTTGAATATTCTACAGGAGACAAATAACAGTTTTAGGGAAATTACAAATAGCAATTGTTTTAAATCCACCCCATAATGTTTACTGTTTGTTTTGTTATGGTCAGATTATTAAGAGTCAAAGAAAAAACAAGACAGGGATAATTTCCTTAGAGTTTCCACCCGGATGCAGTCATTCACTTGGGTCTGACAGCATCTGGTGTGCAGAGCCATTCAATCCCATTTTCATCCCTGCAAAGCCAGACAGACAGTTGAAGGAGCCAACTGCATCTCTCACTTGAAGCCATTGGACCAATCACAGGGCTGCGGGGGAGGGAGTTATCCGCGCTGATCTCTGTTTGCAGCATCCCTGGAGCAGCTTCTGTTGTGTGAAATACAAGAAAGGGCCAAGCGGAGGGGGGTTGATCCGAAGAGGAAACCGGAGAATGGGAAGGGGATCTTTTTGAGGCTGCTGGGATAGGGTTACTCTGGTGTGTGGAGTCCATCTTCACATAAAATGGCTTTCTTTTTGTCAATGTAAACAGCCTGTGCAGTACCTGCTTTGCTAAAGGGGGAAGCAGAATTGGAGGAGGGGCAGCCACTGGAGGAAATGCTGCCTCTTCCAATGACATTTTCCCCTCTCTAGCTAACCCTGGCCTGCCGCAGCTCACATCTGAAGTCATGCATGTTGTATGTTAAGGTACGTATGCAGCTCTAATCTGAGAGGGAACATGGAGTAGGACCTGGTCACGTTGGCAGGATTATGAGCTCAGTTGTTTGGACAGGACTGCTGAGATACAGTGCATCTCGACAAAAAATAACACCAGTAACACAGTAATAAGGTCATACTATCATTCAAACAAAGATGTTACATGCTCATGTCTGGTTGCTGTGCAGGAATATTTAACTAGACAACTAGCAATGACTAAATCCAGTCTTTGGTTTTCATTGGTTGTTTGCTTCAGCTGCACATGGTCCTCATTAGGGGCACAAGCAGACAGGATGCACCAAGGAGAGAGGAATGGATCATGTGTCTTGTTTCTGCTTTAAAAGGAAATGTCTTAAAACTCATATGTGTAAATCCTCAGGATGCATTGCTTGTCTCTCATGGGATGTTTACAGTATGTGTGGGTGTGAAGTAGGCCACATGTACCTGGATGTAGTGGATATTTATGGAAGTGTGTGTGGTAGCGTGGGTGTAAGTTTAAATGTGCCGTTTTGAAAGAGCTGCCAACACATTTCCTCACAGTGCATGTTACAGTTAAGTGGTTAGTATTCCTTGGTATTTTATCAAGTTTGTTATGCCACTTCTCTGCCTTTGCTACCCACATCCTGCCCAAAAACATCGACCACAACTGAAATTAAGCGTGAGATGTGTCAGAACTGAATTTTCTTTAATTCAACCATTTTGAGAATAATCAGTGCACAGAAGCAAATTGGACATATTTTAGTTTTTGGCTGCAGTTAAAAGAACGCTTTACCTTTATTCATGCTTCCTACAATAACCCTTTATTAATCATAAACTGTTGTTTTAGTTTTTTCTCCAGATGAAATTGCGAAGCCCCATCAATGCTCAAACCAGAGAGAAGTCACCTGTGTCCACCATGAGACGCACGAGAGGCTGAGCGACACAGCAACATCCACACAAAGAACCAAAATACATCCTTCAGTTGAAAGTGTTGCACCTGACCATGGCCGTAACTGCAGCTAAGACAACTCCAAGTTTTTTCTCCACAACTGCCACGACCACAGCAATCCCCTTCCTCTCGACGAGCAAGGGCGTCAGAGACAATGTCACCTCCAGAACGACATTAATGACTGTTACTATCACAGCAAACGAGACCAGCTTCAATGCCACCTCGTTCCCAGAGGCCGTGATGGAGGGCTCGGGAATGGGAATGGTGCTCGTACCCTTTGGCATCATCACTGTCATCGGCTTGGCAGTGGCAATAGTAAGAAATCATTTAGATATTGTCTCTTAAGTAGCATTAATCTCTAAATGAACTGGAATGTCTTGACCAAATCGATGTTGTTTATATCAATAAGTGTGTATTTGTCTTGACACATTTGTCTTGATAGTTGCACTCAGTAATTTACTTTGTTGTTTTATTTTAAATCCACCACCTTTTTGTCATTATATCTGTTTTTCTTCATCCTAGATGCTGTATATTCGGAAACGGAAGCGGTACGTTTACAAATACTTATTTTAGCTGATCCCACAACCTGCCTTAGTTTATTACAACCAGCCTTAGTTTATAACATGCCAATTGGTATCAGTATTATTTTCCAACAGTAATTATATACATTTATCTAAGTACTGTACTACAATACAACTTTTATTTCAATGTCCTGCAACCTTAAACTTTGAATCAAGTGCATTTCAGAGGGAATATTATACACATTCTCCACTAAATGTATTTGATAACTTTAGTTAATTTGAAGATTCAGATCCATGATGCAAAAATATAATCATAAAACAATGTATGTAGTATTATTACAGGTTCCCATGTTGAAATCCACAAACTATCTGGACGTTTTCATGGTACCTTTTTAAAAAAAAAAAGCTCCTTATTTAACAGTTACTATAATAATAGAACATGATTAAGCATACAATTCCTTCATTTAGTTCTGAAATGGGGCATTAATAAAAATAGGACTTTTACTTTTGGTACTTTAACTATATTTGTATTATTTTCCTTTTACTTATGTACACTTTTGAATGCAGGACTTATATGTGTTGTAGAGTATTTCTACACTGTAGTTTGCCCTTGCTGAATTAAAATAGTAGTGTTCTTGTTCCATCTCTGCTAAAACATAGTTTTAACCAAGACAATTCAATCCAAGTGAAGAGGGGCCCTGTGTCAAAATCCAGTTAGTAGGGTTTAGCAAATAACAAACATTTTAAACCAACAGTGCAACTAGGCAACATTTATTTTCACCTAAATGCTGACTTCACTTCACTTCTCAACTCTTGTCTTACAGGCTGGAGAAGCTGAGGCACCAGCTCATGCCCATGTACAGCTTTGACCCGGCTGAAGAACAAGATGACCTGCTGGAACAGGAACTACTGGATCACGGCCGGGACGGCAGCCTCGCCGGTCCCAATGCCAAGGTGAGGTTCTCTCAGGAACCAATGTCCTATCTCTCTGTCTTATCTAGAATAAATGCTCCGATTCAGACCACAAGTGGGGAGGACCGCAAAAGCCACGATAACCAAGTTACAATGACATAAACAATGTTTCCTGTCATAGATAACAAACAAACTTCTATCAAAATTCCCCAGTGTTTAGTTGAGTCTCTATTTGTTGACATGTCAATACATATGTGCTTTATTTTATTTTTGTATTCCACTATTAGATGTTAATCTCTTAATGTCCATGTTTTTCCTGTCAAAACTTATCATTATTTTCTTTTGATTTCTTTTAAGTTTTAACAATGGCATAATGGTAAAAGGCAAGCATGGTAAAGTATCACCTGAGTGTCTTTGAAACATCTCTCTAAACCTCTTTTTTCCTCCCAATCCTAATTCTCTCATTGTTTCCGTTCATCAAACTTAAACAAGTTAGTTGTTTGTCATATTATAAGATCTAATTTGTATTAGAGTATGCTAACAGAGTATGCTAACACACACAATCACACTCAGTCATACTATTTGTCATCCTTTCCTTTTTTTGCTCCCTCAACTTAATACTCCGATCATAACAGATTTCCTCATTTTATGTTCAAATCAAATCCATCCATGTATGTGTACACACATAAAGTAGTTATAAAGAAACAAACATAAAGAATTACAGTTTTATTTTTTAGTAAGATGAACTTAAACTCAAAATCTCATTCATAGCTTTCAACTGCATTTCAAACATGGCCATTATATTTGAATAAAATACAAATATGTCTTTGGCACTGGCATACAACGATTATGTGGCTATATGTACATCTGCATTACATTCATTTAGCTACTTTTTAGAATGGAGGTTTGCTTTAATAATATTCTTATACATAATCACACACATTTTCTAGTACAAATAAGAGTATGTATATACAAATGAACTCTAAACAGTTGGCATACCATGGTTTTGCACATGGCTTCTGACCCTAACACATTTTCTCTGGTTTCAGTTATCAGTCACATTTCACTTATTTGATGGTCCTGAAATGAGCAACTAGCTATCATCACCATTTCCAAGTTGAGTTGTACAATTAAAGACTAGAGCCAACATGTGATCTTGATGTCACTGACAGTTTTATGTCCCATCTGTCTCCCTTGCAGACTCTCACAACCTCCCAGGGGACGACACAGAGGCCCAGTCGTCTGGTCTTCACAGATGTAGCGAAAGCTCTCAACGCTTAACGGCTCTCTTCCATTAGTTCGTTTCAGTTTGAAGCTCGAGAAACAGACTGTCTCTCAGGAAGAAAAACAAAGGGAAAACTGGAGTGTTTTTAGGACAACTGTGGCTTTGAAGGACATTTTCATCACTCTGACACAGGACGAAGTGGTTTTCAAAAACAAATTGTAGGGTGCATGTTTGATAAGGGAGTATATAATGGTAGGAATCACATTTATAAGATCTTGCACTTGTATTATTTGGTACACAAATGCAGTGGGATGCACTTCAATCATTGCTGTTAAAATGTTTGGTAGCTTTTCAGTGAAGTTCTTCTGAGCTTCAATATCTACTTCCATGTTTGAAGAGAGAAATGTACACTTGTGTTTTATTGATTTTGTAGTCTTTTGTCTCTGATGAGCTTGAACTCTGGATGTTTTTTCATCCTTAAGTGAGCTGTCCCTCACTGTTTTGTTTCCTCTTTATTGAGCAAAGAAGATCTGTTACCATCTGTATACATTAAAACTATTTAAACCAATTTGAAAGAAAAAAGGTTTTGATGTACAAATCCATGACAAAAGAGTTGATGGGTCTGATATTTTATTGATAAGCGATAAAGAAGCAGAATAACACAAATCACATGGTAAAGAATCATTACAAAACATATATCACAGGTTTGTGAGTTGTATTAATGTATTGGATGAGGACACATCAACAACATAACTACAAAATGGTGTTAAAAGTAAGGCATAAAAGATGATTTCTCAAGTTACACTTCAACTTTTCAATAGTTGAATATGGATCAAGTACTGTATGTACTATCAGTAAGATCACAGAACAACGTTGTCCCCTTAGAGAGTAAATATCCAGACACAGCTTGTGTAAAACAACAAACACTAACCCAGCCGTAGTTAAATTAAGAGGCGCCTTTCAGGCTGACTTACGTTAATTATGGTGACGTGAATGTTGCGAGATGAGATGAATGGACTACAACAGTACTAGTTAGACAATTATTTCAAGATTTCATGATCCACATCGCCTGCAGGTTCTGTGGAAAAGGTCAGACACCACTAGCCAAAGACTTCAGAGGTAGTCCAAAAGGGCAAAACGTAACGTCAATGCAGTTGTACAATAAAACATAACTGTCTGTAAATTCATTAAGCTCCATGGCAGCAGCAATTTACCCAACAATGCTGAAATACATACACAAATGGGGATATTACATATCATAGTGATATGAAAAATGAAACATTTGCAATAAGCTTACTGTCAGTTTAAGGGCAGAACTATTGACCACCAAGGTCTTAAAAACGTTACTGTATTAAAAGACTGGAACCTGGAAACTTCTTTATTTTTTAAATAACTAAACAATTGGAAATTATAGAAAAAATACTTTGAAATACCATTATTATTCTACCAAGTACTCTGAGTGATTATTTATTAAAGATAAACAAGTATATTTAGGGGTTACCCTTAAAGTGTGTTTTTTACATCATTCAGATCGTTTTATTTCTCACACCACAAGCGCTGACCACAAATGGAATTCCATTCATTTCCATTGTATTTGAGATTCAGAAACACATATCTCAGAACTGGTCAAAAACCAAAACTATCTGCATGACTTAAAACTACAAGTTAGAAAGAATAACCACAAATTAAAAGTTTAATTAAGAAGAAATACAACCCACCCTTTAATACAACTATGGGTTGATCAATGAGTCATTTATTAACAAATGTATACTTATTCTTCTGGTATAATATATTTTTGCGATTAGCATAACTATCACATAGTAACCCAATTGTTGCGGGTCACAAAAATATAGTCTCTCTTATAACGACCATATAGAAAAATGAAGGAACAACCTTTTTTCCTTTCATAAATGAGTAAAACAACAAAGAGAACGGTTAAAGATGCAGTGTGAAATATTATTTACTTATTTTCCATCATTTATTTCCACCTTGTCATGTATTTCAGCACCTTGAAGTTATTTGCTGTTCTTGTTTTTTTTAAATTACACTTATTAAGAGTGTCCCACATACAATTTACAGTGTAAGAATGAGAAAAACCATGATGTAGTAAAAATGAGAAAGACCCAAAAAACAAACAAGTATTTCATAAGGGAGTACACCCTAAAAAGGCATTTTATCAAGTTGTTGTAAACTATTGGATGTATTGTTTTCCCAGGAGTCTCACTTCAGCTTTTAACAAATACATTTTTTAAAGAAAATGACAATGATGCTTTTTTTGTACACCAATAGTAAAATCCTCTGCTGGTGTGTGATGTGTGCTTTTGTGTGTAAGCCTGAAAACCCTTTGCCTGTGTGTGTTTGTGTGAGTGTGAGTGTGAGTGTGAGTGTGAGTGTGAGTGTGAGTGTGTGTGTGTGTGTGTGTGTGTGTGTATGTGTGTGTGTGTGTTTGTGTGAGTGTGTGTGTGTGTCATTGTTGCTGCAGAGGGAGTGACAAGTTATTTTGTTGTGATGTTTTTTGTTACTGAGGTAGTATGAGAGTTTAAGAGACTGAGGGCATCTGAGGTTTAAATGAGGTCTTTGTGTCAAGGCAAACTGGTAATGTCAAATACAAATCAGAAATGCACAACAAACACAGCACAATCATTTTTACTGAGTAGACTGACAACATGTTCCTGAATAGTTTAGTACCTGAGGTTTCAATATGGTGTAAAAGCACTGTAATAGTAAAATCCTGAGTGTGGTAAAATGACATGTCAACAATGTTGTTGACTAAAGTAAATATGAAGGGTTTCTTTCCAAAACAAGACATCCATATAAACCTTTGGGTGCTTTTTTACTTGCTGGAGGGTGGAAGAGGAAATACAATCATTGAGGTTATTAAGCCAACTTTGAGTAATGAACATAAGACATTTATTTTCTCCCAAACTGGATATCTCCTTTTGGAATAAAATCTTTCACATCTACTTTTATAATAATGACTTCAGAGCACCATGTTTATATTGTAACATCACTAAAAATGTCACCATCTTGCTCACATTTCATATGAGAATTCATGACACTTGATTTAGATTTTTCTTTCAATAAAACAGTCAAGGTTAGTTTCTTTTTCTCTCAATTTTAACCCAGAATCCTGTCCACACACCCGCTCAGAGACAAGCAGAGAGGTTAAGAGAGTGGGCATCCTTAAAGCAATAGTTTGACTTTTTGGGTAAATACGCTTCTTGGCAATCTTTCCAAAAGTTAGATAAGAAGATTTCGAAAAAACAATGAATCTTAAGCGAAGCATTCAGACTGGACACAGTCTGAAGGTGAACATTTTACCTTACACATTTAAAACTCGAAAGGCACATTGCAGTAACTGTGAACAATTAACTAAAAACTGCTATCAGTCTTTATGCTAAGTTAAGCTAACCAGCTTCTGGTAGTAGCTTAATATTAACCGTACAGATATGAGATTGGTATCAATTTTTTGATGCAACTCTTGGTGTAAGTGAACAAGCACAATTCCCAAAATGTCAAACTATTTGCTAAAAAAAAGCTATTTTGAAAGATCAAATTATTCGAAGTAAAAACAGAGCTTGTTCATCAAACTCTTATAGCGAACTAATAAAACCAGGGTACAGTATCATATCGGGAGAAGAAACAACTGTCTGCAATGACTTCTTTTTGTGTGGTTATGTGTGTGTTCCTGAATTCCCATCACAGAAAGGGGTCAGACCCCTGTTTGTTTGAGGCCAAACCTTGAGGTAGTTCGAAAGTCATCCCATCTACTCTCCTTCCTCCTGCGCTGGAACCTGAGATGTCTGAGGCTCGAGCTGCGAGGGATCATCCTCAGTCTCTTCTGAAGAGCCCTGGAACAGCACAAGACCAAAAAACACCATCACTTTGTGTGTTGTCGCAGTCTAGTGACTCATAATGCACAAGATAATGAATCTATACTAGAAAGAGTACGAGAATACAATAATGAGTGTAAAATTCAGTGATTGCGTGCGGGGAAGTAGGTCCAGCTGTCAGACTTAGAAATGTGAAGAAGACGACGGTTAGGTCAGGAAACCAAGAAGACAGAGAAAGAGAACAGTTAGATCAGGTTTCCCCTCTCTACATTGACTCATTCTTCTCCTTCGTGTGCGTGCGTCTGAAAAAGGGAGTCTATCTCAACGGTTTCAGTTCTTGAAGAGGAGAGGATGCGATAAGGAAGACGAGGGGCATCAAGAGAACTGACACGTTGTGCAATACTCTTTGTTTGAAATATGAACGAGGTGGCTTAAAGAACTAACGTTTCTCAGAAACACTGGGTGTGCACTAAAACTTGATGTAACGAAAGGATGTTTGGAGGTGTATTTGGGGAATTCAGCACCGCCGTCTGTACATTTCCTAGAACCCGTCATATCCTTGTGAAGTCAATGAACGTATAGCTCAAAGAACATGGCTGTTTCTTTATCATTACATACAAAAGTAAATATGTAGTTAGCAGCGATGTGCCATGTTGTTCTAATCCTATTTTTTCAATGTGCAGGGCAATGCAAAGGATTAGCTGTATGTGCTGCACAAGCTGGAGGAAAGAAGCTTTTTCTTATTCTGTGTTGGATTTGTGATTATGGAGACGTTTGCCAAAGAAGTATATGATACTTATAAAGTATAATTCTTTTACATTTAACATTTTTGGTGGATAACTATGTTGGTAATTCAATAACTTTGTCATCATGCTCTCTCTCTTTATGTTTTTTGTTAAAAACATTCAATATAACGCACTGCAGTGTTGGTTAGGTATATTTAATAAATTGGTTACTATAGACTGTCTGAAGGCAATACTTTGTTGGCTGCAGAACCAACTTAATGGGCCCATAGGGCTTTTGAATGTAGTTCAGGTTTGAATAGGAACACAAGCAGAAGATATTCATGAATAGTTAAATGAGATCTGCCCTCAAAAGTCCCTCATTATAAATGAGACTGATTTAGTGAAAAAGTAAGATGTGTGACACAAACTGAAATGTCTGATCTACTGAAGCAGAGGATGTATTTCTTCATTGTCACAGACTCTCAGTGACTTAAGCTACAGTTCAATGTGATATCTAGTAAGTGACTAATTCAAAAAAGTATTGAAAGTAATTTGGTATGTGTGACTTACCAAAAAGACTGCAGTGGAAGGATATTTAATTATGAGGGCTTATGCTTAGATTTAAAAAGGATGTAATGCTTTGTAATGATTTAAAGAATCTGCAACATTTCTGCTCATTTTGTTAGATTAGAGATCTTACTTCAGTAATTTTAACAAATTAAATCACAAGAATCAAAAGATTTTTTCCCCCTCACCTGCTGCTCTTCAGCTACTTGTACTACTTTCCGGGGCTGCGGTAAGAGAGGAAACACAATGAATATATCATGAATACAAGCGCCCTGCAGCTCAAGGAGACACCTTGAAGGCTTTGGACACAACTGTCAGTGATTGCTCCATACCCATTTCCTCGGTCGCCCACGCGGACGTTTCTCACCAACGGGCTCTACTTTCTGAGGAAGAACAGACGAATGGTTAACACCAGGTTTCACATTTTAACAATCCTGGCATACTTTCAGCTATAACTAAGATTAGGGTCTTATGCGTTGCCATTTTGTATATTTATTACTTTGTCGCCAGAACAAAGTTAACTGCAATAAAAATACAGACGGTTCTTTAAGTCAAAGTATACCTCTGTGTAGAATATTAAGAGCTGTCTGTCAGAATATAAATGAGGAACTCTACCAAGCAAAGTTAAATGATCTTCAACAATCGAATGAAAATACCAAAAATACACATATTCATTGCATATTTTGCTTTTATATCCACATTTTCAGAGAAATGCTGAATTTACCTCAATTTGTAAAAAAACAAAAAAATGTATGTGGGTTATGGCATGTTTTACAATAGGCACATACATACCAATGTATGTTTCAGATGTAAATAGATCGGTGGAGTTGCCTGATACTAATGTTTTTTTCCAGAGATAGCGATGAAACAAATAAAGTCTATAATAAAACAAGATTATCTGTATACAATTGTTTAGAGTGTTGCTACAAATGCACAGACATCCTGGAAATCTGCCAGCAGGGGCACGACAACAACTGCTACAACAAGCCTCTGAAAATAAACTTCAACTTTAAGAGAACATTTGACAAAATAGCAAAGGGTAGCTTTTTTCTAAACTATCTTTAATGTCAATGCACACAGCAATGTGGCTCCTGATGCTATATCAGGAGCCACAGTACATGTCGTCATAAGTGTACTGTAAATTGATATTTCACAGCTGTCATTCAACAATGTCAACACTTTTTAAACACGCTGTCACACATGTTTTTGTTTATTTTGAAAACACATAAATACACAATATAAAAAATAGGCTGAGATTTTAGTTTTTAAAGTATTGGTTAATTTAGAAGTGCTGTTTTAATGTTACATTATTGGAAAAGGTCCCTTTGGTGAGAATGGTACTAATTCTTTACTCAATTGAAAGTAGAAATAATACATGTTTAAAATTGTATAATTAAAAGTCATGCATTCAAAATATTTTCAAGTACCAATGCTCACTATGCAATATACTTTACAGAGTTTTTGATTATTGTACATACATATTAAGATACAATTATTATCATGAATGCATAGATGTGAAAGATGGACCAATTTAGATGGAGCTTATATCAACATAAAACACTGTTGATATACAAAGTGATAGTTTAAAAGATGATGAGTAAAATTGTAAACTGCAAAGTGACTTCACATGTGCCTCAAAGATGTACTTTGACTTTCGGTATTTAAGCATGGGCTGTCGTATCTTTAACCACTTTTATTAATGTTAAGTGAGAGACATCTCTCTGTAAGACAATCTGTCATTCCTCAGAACAATAATAGCTATCACTAACAAACAGGCGTGAGACAAAAATACTGCACTGATTTAACAGCTGCTCTTTTCTCTGTTTTCAGCTGACTCTGCCCTCATCATGATGAATGCTGACTTCCATTAAATGCCCTGCAAATGACATCAATCTTAGTTTTTCAAAAAATTATAAATGGAAACAAAATGTATAGAGTATTTCCATCAATTGTAACACAAATATTGTGTGTGTTATTGAGTGTTAGAGTAAGAAATCACAGATGACTGTAATGTCACTAATGATTATATCTTTCTATTATATTTTCTAATGTTAAGAAATTCACAGCATAATTTCTTTCTTTCTCAAATAAATACATGTATTTATTGACAGGTTATAAATCAGTTTCAACCTTCAGTGCAGTTTTGGGGCCTTTGTTCTTGCTGCCTTTGGGTCGTCCTCTCGGTCTCTTTGGAGTCGGTGGCCCAACAGGCTCCTGCACAGAAAAAAACACATGTTAAACTAACCATTGAAAAACATTGCTTTGTATGAGCTGTTTCTTTACAGCCAGGAGACACGGACTGATAATTAACTAGCTTTGTTTCCCAGAAGCACCTTTTAATTAGATACTTAATGATTTAAGATCTAGGATAGACCTGATTAACCTGATCTTTTTAAAGACTGGAGACTTACCTGTTGCTGTTTCCGGGGCCGACCCCTGCCCCTGCGCTGAGGCTCAGGAGGAGACTGGGCAGTGCTCGGCTCGGGAGACGGCTCTTTGGTCCCACGATTACTCATGCCTGTGTCTGTCCACCTGCTTCAAAGAGTGTGGGCATCAAAGCCTGGAGAAGCAGCCTCAAGGGCTTAAAGAGGAGAAGATGTGTGTAAAGAAACGTAGTATTGCAAACTTACGAATTAAGCAATCATCTTCCACAAATTATATTCAAAACGTTTTCTTTGCACAATCACAACCGTGAGTTTTGATCAGTGCTTAATATAATTGAAAGGATACATCAGAATCACACAGGATAATTTTCCAGTAGTGAGCGTGGGAACTGCTTATACATTAGCCTTGGCACCAGGTTCATTGGAAACACAGACAGGGATCTGGCAGACGCAGGGAAACATGAGAATGGTGTCCAGAAACTAAAAGTAGCACAGATATTCACAACTCAATCTGCCATCCAAAATCTGCATCTGCTCTGCTGTACGCTGCCTTTCCATCTGTCCTCTGCGAGGTATTTCTCAATGAGGTTGTGCATGCTGTAGGCGTGCTGATGCTGCAACAACCTTTATTTAAAACGTGTGGAACTTAGACACCCAAAAAATAAACTACTTATTTTTAATGGAAAGAATCATTAAAACATGACAAACTATTCACACATCTAAGATTGCAACCTATATAGTGAACTTTAGAGCTGCAATGCTTAGTTGATTTATAGAATAGTCATACACAAGAAATTAACCTGGAACTTTTTTCATAATTGATGGCAGTCTCTGTGTCTCATTTGATTGTAAACAAAATAGTTTTCGGTTTTGAGTTATAGGGCACAGATACATGAAAAAACATAATCTGAAGAAACAATTTGGACTTCAGGCAAAACTTTTCTTTTTTTTTTTACCAACTGAATAATCAATTTATTATTAAGGACATTTCAGTGATTTCCTAATTCAGTAATTGTCTGGTCAATTAAATGTAACATAGTTAAAACGCCCTTTACGCCCCCAAAAACCATGTTGGCATCTTGAATTGTCAAAGATAACAAGTTTACAATCACATTATGACCAAGAAAGGCAACAATTCTCGAAAAATGACTGAAAGTTTAAATGAGTTATCAAAATGATTGTCTGATTGATTATGACAAACCATGTAGCCTATCCTCTTATCATATTTGTTGGGAATTTCTCAAAGGACGATTAGTTAATTTGTATTAAGATAGATAGATGACTAAATGCTGTTTGTAATGTCCTAAGGTGGTCGTTCGCCGTAAGGTCTAGCTCTGGGAGGAATGTGCCAAAATCTAATTGCCAACACAGCCTATCAAAACGGGCGAACTGAAGCAGGAAGTCGGAGTCATTTGAGAAATATAAGTCCTTGTTGAAACGAGTAAAAGCCAAACGAGACAAACGACGCCGTTTCGTGGCTTCTAAACGGAGTTAGGAGCAACACAACAAGCGTCCTGCACTTCTTCTGCAGCGGCAGACCGCCCGCTTAACTAGTCTGTGTTTGCCAGTCTAGTACTGGGACTGAATGTACTTTTTGCATATGGGCGGCAATTGCAACCATAAAAACACATTGTTTTATAGCCTTTTAAGAAGGTGCGTAAAGCGCTCCTGCATGACTTCAAACCTTCCCGACTATGGATTGAGTATCTAGCGCATGTAAACGCCAAAACAACAGTCGAGGCCGTCAGTGTTTAAAGTCGGTGCTCTCTTCACAACATCCCCCTGCTCACATCACTTGCGCAATAGTTTGTATGCTGTTTTCATTAGTGATAACAGGTCCGCCGAAGTGGATGAACCAAAAAACTGGAGAAACTTTAGCGAGAGGGACAAAGGCGAGGAACACAGGTGCAAAAGCTCTCCTTTCAAAGCAGCCATGGACATACACACATACATACACCCAGGCTATAGGCTCCATGTTCAGGCTGAGTGCTCACCGCCAAATGCAACAATGAGAGCGCAGGGAACTTACCTTGAGACGGTTCTAGCTTTACCTGGAAGTTCACACACGGTCAGCTCACTTTGTGCTCCTGCACAACTCTGAAAATCTCAGAGTATCGACCGTCTCATTGGTTGGATTGAAAGGGTAAACTCTCTCTCTCTCTCCTCTAATCGGAAATGTGTGTGATCCCCCCAGACGTCCAGTCACGAATACCCCAGTTGCAGTATAATTGGGGGTTAGCTGAGCAGTATGCATTGCATACTTTCTCTATTAAAGCATGTTTCAAGAGGGAGCGAGGGTAGGAGGGTTGGAACAGAGCACCCCGCCCCGAAAACTCACCGGACCACCCACTTGAGAGAAAGAAAGAGGGAGTCTGGTTCCGGGGTTCCCAAAGTGGGGAAGTTCCCCACAGACGGGAGGAGAAGGTACAGTAGAAATGTCTAGACGGGTTTAAGCAGAGGTTTCACACTCTCTCTCTCTCCCTCCCTGCTGTTAGATCCCCACCTACACTGCTGGAGTTTCTATCAGTCATAACAAAGGAACCAAATATCAGATGGGGTTTTTGAGAGCAAAGTGTGTGTGCAGGCAGCCGTCTTTTGTTGGGGGGGGGGGGACCACAGTTTGGTTAATTTAATTATGCATTCACTTTTTACCAGATCTGAGTAAAATGACTAATGTCCCCTTTAATGTTCCTATGTTGAACAACCTGAACAAAGTGTTTTTATTAGACACCATATATTGTCTCTTTAGTATTTGTTCTGTTCTTGTTCTCTTTATGTTTAAAATAACATCTTCCTATGGTGGACTTTGGAATCTTGAAATCCTACCATCATAGTTTTTGACACATGTTTCAGTATAGGTTTAAAAAACATTGAGATTTCAGAGGTAACTTTGTAAATTTGCACACACTGATAAATACAGACATACATTTTTGAACAACAGTGAAAACACATTCCAGGGGCGGCTAATGCTGAACCGCTCATGGAGTCATGTCAGGTCAGCCTGCTGGCATAAGACCAAAAATATAAAGCTTTAGGTTACAAAGATGGAGCACAGGGCTGCATCTGAACGCCAGAAAGTGTCAGTTTCATTATGTACCTCAGAAATTCATATCCTCTGAAATATGAAGTTGTATTTTGAAAAACTCACATCAAAATGTTGAATTAAAAGATACAAAAAGTTATCTCATTCAGATAACAAAGGATGCATGAGACAAATTACAAAGAAACTATTTGAATATTTCTGTGGCAGCATTTATTAAAAATGTATTCAGGTTTCCCAGAAGCATTAAGCTTTAACAGTTGGTGAGAACTGGTAGTCATATATGAATTTGATTAGTCATCCACTATAATTATTACTAAATGAAAACGCCAGAATGACGCTGAAATCATAACTGTCAACCCGCCATTTCCAGACGCTGTGTCCAGCAGGATGATAATTGTCCATTTTTAGTGAAAGGGAACATCTTCTACTCTATACGGCTATTAGTTCTGCAAAAGATAAAATGTCAGTATCTTTGGATTGAACAATGTTGGTGTGAAAATGTACAAGACAGATCGAGGGGGGAGGGTTTGCATGAGTGAGGAGTTGTGTGAGTTCAGTGGCCCTCTGCAGGCTGGTGTGTCTGAGATTCGGTCGGACTCTGATCTTGAGGTTTATTTAAGCTGAATTCCGTGGGCTCATCAGGACCGGGTTACAAAAATCCTCCTATAGAACTAGAAAGAATGTGCAGCGCATACAGTTCTGCATAAGGCACAAAGGCATGTCTTTAGAGGTGGGGGCAGGCATCAAAAGACAGGCAGAGGAGGGATTTCTTTAGAGGCTGGGGGCAAAGGAGGTATTTCGGAGCTCCATTCACTGCCACTGAGAGGAGGGGAGGCAGACAGTTTTGTGGTGAAGGGTGCATTTCCAGGGGATGTTAGTTAGGAGTTACTTACTCTCAGTTATTCTGCTCTGAACCGGAGGGGCTACAATTAGTTAAAAATTGACATTCATTTCAGTGCACTATAAAGTAGCCGTAAGCAGTGTTTAATTATGTGTTTGTGAAAAAACTATAACTCTTCTTGTGGGCACTCTTAAGTGGGGCCTGCTGTAGGGACACATAATGAAAAGGTTTTTAAAACATTGTAATAATATACAATTATAGGAGAAGTTATCATTGTTGCCAAATACTTGACAGCTAAAAATGCCCTTGTATCTGCTTACAACTGAAATATAGTTAAATGCAATATATAAACAGAAGGACCTCATGTAATGTGAAGATTTGTAATAAATGTAAATGTTATGATTCTCTGCATTTTTTTGTATCTCAGCATATGTAATTATGTTTTGGAAACATAAATTATTTTGGTAGGTTAATCTGGCAGATATATAGACTAAATATAATTTCACATAGTCTCTATCATGTAGTAATTGTATTAATCGTAAAATAAAATCTGACTATGAATCTTATTGTATAATTAACATTTTTGTATGTAAAAGAGACAGCTGAAAAGATTGTTTTCATGTGGCAAAGTGACTAACTGGTCTGTTTGGTATTTGCCAGTTGATTTGATCAGTTCCTGTTAAACGGCAGTCTCTGTCTCTAAGCCATCTCCATGACCTTCTTGATCCAGTCCACGTAGACAGACACTCGGATGAAGATGTTGGGCTGCCCTGGGTGTCCGCAGCGCCTCATGGGGATGATCACTCCCTCCAGTACCCAGCAGTCGCTGTTCTGACACGCCAGAGGTCCGCCGTAGTCTCTCTGCAGAAACACAGGAACAACACTCCGCCGTCATTATTTGTCTATGTTATGACTGACTGTCACTGCTGAGGTTGGAAACATCTTGCAGTCACATCTTGTCCAGTGCACTTCCATTGTCCAATTGGTGAATGTGTTTGATTTATAGGAACATATAAATAGCTGTATGCTGTTTAAGAGCACTTGTAGATAATTTCATCATCAAACTAATTTTCTTTACCATCTGTATTTAAAGTTTTAATTCTCTGAGCTTAATGGTGTTATTTTTGCTCATTAAAATGTTTGACTTTTGAGAAATATGCTAATTAGCTTTGTTTCCAGGAGTGAGATGAAAGGTTGAAACTAACCTCCAGTTGCCAGTTAGCTTATTTTAGTGGCATGAAACTGGAAAAATCCAGCTTGGCTGAGCAAAAAAAAGCAAACCTAACAACAGGTTCACAGGCAAACAATGAAAGAAAAAAAACATTATTATAATTATATTATATATGATGTGCATCATTTTATCTGAGAAAAACTGCATTCTCATTATTTTAAATTCTGCATTCTCTTTCGTTGTCCTTTTAGAAGAAGCTAGCAAACACTCACAATAATGCTGTCAAGTAACATTAAAGGATGATGATGATGTGAGTGAAGCGTAACATTGCTAACTGAAGTGCACATGTGCTGTATTATAACAGTAACAAGCAGACAACCTGAGAGGCTTTCTGCAACGCTCCCAAATGAACTCCATCGCTCAGAGAAATATTTAGCATAACGTACAAACATAAGTTGAAAACTTAATGTAGTTTACTGTATGCGACAGTACAATAGCTAGCTCAGACAGGATATGCTCACTGGCTACTTGCTCTAGCAACATAATGAGCATTAAGGCATGATAGCGTCTCATCGAACTCTCGACAAGAAAGCCTGTGATTGTATTTTTAAATGTTTGACATATTCCTTGAATGCACACTGCAGTTAATGGTTGTTTTTATGCGTCATGGTTATCTTTTGTTAAGACAATGTAAAAATAAATGTCTCTATTTTAATTACGTATTCAACAAAATGCAACTTATTACATTTGATTACTTTTCATAACTTTTTAAACACATATCTTGAACTTGACAATAAAACTGAAAAAACTACATTCAAACCGTATTGTGAAAACCTCACAATACTTAAAGGTGGGGTAGGTAAGTTTGAGAAACCGGCTCGAGATACACTTTTTGTTATATTCCATGGAATGCTCTTAACATCCCGATAGCAATGAATATCGTCATCTGTGGAAGCCGTAGTACTGTAAAAAGCACGACCAATAATTTTAGCCGGCCCGGGTCGAATAACTGGATGGCCTACCTGCCTGTCAGCCTTCCATCTGTGCACAAACCTCGTGCCCTCATTGAGTGGCGAAGTCATGCCCATCTACTTCCACCCCATGGGACCTTATTTCTGAAAAAGTATGTATTGAAGTCAATGGGGAGAGAAAGATTATCTTTCGATCCCGTTTGAATTGTGCCACGAATTACACATATGATGTTTGTCAATCTTAAAAAATTATTTCCATGTCAAAAAAGTCGCAGTTTCTCTCAAAACTGTTGAAATATAAGACTAAGAAAAATACGCAACTAGAAAGACTACAAATCCCAGAGTTGCGTAAGTGAATTTAGCTAGCTGACATTAACGTTAAACATTACACTCGTGTTACTCACCGACACCTTGTAAAGCCGGTCCCGCATGCTGGAACCGACTAACTCCCCGTTTGTGTATGTACAGTTCTCAACATGGCCAGACTTGTAGTGATTTTCACCTCTTTTAATACTTTTCGCTTCATTCTGAAAGAAAGAGGTGAAATGTGCTAACGTGACGGCCATCTTAGTGTTGGTGACGTATGCAAGACCAGAGTTGTAGTTCATTGAGCGCTTCACACAAAAAAATGTGTTACTTCACAGTTTTACGGCACATTTTAATTTTTTTGACTTACAAAATTATCTTTTAAATTGACAAACATCATATGTGTAATTCGTTGCACAATTCAAACGGGATCAAAAGATAATCTTTCTCTCTCCATTGACTTCAATACATGATTTTTCCAAAATAAGGTCCCATGGAGGTCCCCCGGATGGGGAGGGACTTCGCCTCTCTATTGGTCATGTGTGTGTTGGAGGAGGGGCTCTGTAAGGAAGTGGCAGATTTTTTCCGGCTGTGTATTTTCAAATTCTAGAGCACTCGAGCCGGTTTCTCCAAAATTACCTACCCCGCCTTTAATTAACTTTTGCCAAAAATATATTGCATAGATGTAATCCATTTGTAATCAACATTTTGATTGGTGACTTTAATTAAGTGAAACATTTATTTGTTATCTTTTTAAAGTTTTTTATATGTTGCAAGTTATCCCCAACACTGTCGAAATGCAAAAATTCAAAAAGGACAATAAAGCTTAGATGCTGTGCACTCTCTTCAAAGACTCTTACCTCGCAGGCGCCCACCCCGCCCTGGAAAGAGCTCGTGCACATCTCGTTCTCACGAACACGACCTCTGAAGTATTTGTTGCATTCCTTGTTACTCAGAACTGGTATGTGGGCCACATTGAGGACAGTCTCATCTCCAGTCCCTTGAAACAACAACGAGACAGAGGAATGATTTAGCAGCAGCCGATGTGTTTAAAGATGGAGAAAATAGCAAAGGAAGGTGGACAGATGTTGAATGTTTCTGCAAATAGCAACGCCATCTGTTGCTCACTGTTCTGAATAGCGCTCTCATTGAGATGCAACATTACTTCAAGGGCAGACGCAAGATGCTTGTTCTAAGGAAGTCATCAATTATCAATTACTGAAATTGAAGCATATTGTAGTTGCATGAAGCGCAGCGTGTTGCTAATTCAGTGTTAAATTAATAATTTCCAAAGGATTATACTTGCCTCTCGTCTCACCCCATCCTGCGATCTCACATGGCGTCCCCTCAGCTACAATGTAGCGCTCAGGAGGGAGGCAGATCTGAGAGATTCGCTCATTAATCTGGGCCGGACTAGAGGAAGAAAGAGAGAGGCACAGGGAAATTATTGGTGTGTATGAGAGAGAGCATGCTGGGGGCACTTGACAGTACACACTATTCCAGTTGTAGCATGACCAGCTGAGACTCCGAGGGTCCGCAGACGATCTTTGTCAGCGGGATGGTTTGCATGCCGGGCTCTTCTGCTTGTGGATCACGAAACAGAGTTCCCATCCTTGCCGAGTACCCGGGCAGGTCCACGTAGCTGTGAACACATGCAGAGAGGATCATTACGAGTCTTTTTATTTCATGTTTTATCCGGACATATCTCATAGTCTGTAAGAGGACCTCAAGCTGTTTAATACTGCTCTTCCAAGTAACACTCATTTTAAACAACACTAGTCTTGCTCTTAGCTCTGTAAGGCTGTACTTAGGCACAGCAAGGCTTCAAAGTAAATGTGAATATGTTATCAATGACAATGCAGACAGACACCCTGCTGTGCGCCAAGAACCTTAAACAAATTAAAGTTTACCAGGAGGAGAAACACTGCTTGGTGCTGATCACCCATCTGGGGTTAACCAGGGATCCTCCACAGAAATGGTTTCCTTTCCTGCACACAAGAGGGTCAGAGGTCACACACACAACACAGGCGAGTGCATTTCACGTGTTCATGGCCATCAGCTCTCAGACCCCATTTACACCGGGACGTTTGCGTTTACGCACCGTATGCGTTTTCAAAAAAGTCTTCCGTTCACACGCATTCGGTTCATTTAAAGTATCCGTTCCTTTATATATACAGTCTATGGTCCATTCACACGAGACCGCTCGACCCGCTGGAAACGCTGTAGTACATATGCCGGGACTGTAAGTGGCGCTGCTGCCACCACAAAACACACCAAAAGCAGCGAAGAAGACATGGTTGCCATGGTTGCCCTTCTGTTTATTCTCCGCGGTGGACGGCGTGTGCTCCTGCTGTAAATCTCTCCGGTAGTCCACCAGCAGATGAAAAACACCCACCTCTCCGCCTCTTCCAAGGGGTTAGGGGACTCTAAGCGACTATAACAATATATGAATAATAAACGGAGCCTCTCTTTTCCTCCCCCTCTTCCGACAGCCCAGCAGCTGATCTCTGAGCAGGAGACGTGGGGAGAGGGAGGCGGGGCTATTTCATAGTTATCAGAAAATGATCGTATAGTAGCCTACAACCACGAGTACAACCCTATGGTACAACCCAGTCTCACGGCATTTCGTGTTATCGTCACGAAATTCATTTAATCTATTGATTCGTGTTCACCGACACGATTTTCGCAAAGCAATGTATTTCTATTGGTAGTAGGCTATGTTTCGTGCCTGCACCACGTCGTTTTGTCCGGTCGGGTCTTGGAATACCAGAAGCTGTGTGGTTCATAAAAACAGTTTCTTACTCGATATCTTACCCTAAGCCTATCCCTATCCCTTTTATTTTCAATTGTTTAATGTCGGAGTTCTTTTGCCATCCGCGAGGAAAATAAATGGGGCAAAGAGCCTCAGAATACTGAAATCTGTATTTTTTGTCATATTTTTTTCCTTCTAATTTGTTATTAATTGATGCAGGCACGAAACATACTACCAATATAAATACATTGCTTCTAAAATCGTTCTGTGTCAGAATACTGAAATCTGTATTTTTTTAAATGTGTTTTTCCTTCTAATTTGTTATTATTTAGATTGCTTTTAAAATCGTTCTGTGTGACACGAAAAAAATGAACATGAATCAATAAATTAATTTTGTGACTATAACACGAAATGCCGTGAGACTGTTGCAACCTGCATAGAGGTGTACAGACGGATCCGTTTGACCCCCCAGAGCGTTTAGTTTGCAAAATCTATCCACCTTGGGACCCGTTATCGTTTGCGGGGTCCGTTTCTATCGTTTTGTTACGGCCTCGTGTAAACGAAAGGGCTATAGCCTACGCAAGAGAAACTATGCGGATACAACCCGTTTCGTCCTCGTGTAAACGGGCTCTCAGACTCACCTGTCCCTCAGGCTCACTGTCCATGGAGAGTTCCCAGGAATCCCATTCACAATGCGCAGCCTCGACATCTTCGCACGGTCATCTCTCTTTCCACACTCACTGAACTCCACTTTCTCTGCGTTCACAAAACAGTATGTGAAAACAATTATTAAGAGACACAAGAAAACTTGTTGTCAACATCGACATGTTGCTTACTATTCATTCAGATACTAACCTACTGGTTCAGTCATGGACACTTTCTCCCCAGCTGTTTGGAAAAACAAAACAAGAAGCAGATCAACTTTTAAAGTAAGAAAACAAAAGCTCTGGATGAACTGTCATCACAAAGTACCAGATACATATATATATATATACAGTTATGTACCACAATGTTTGATGGCACAGTAGTCAAACTCAGTTTTGGGGTCGGTGGTGTAGCACCACGGTCCATGCTGGTCCCCATCCGGGTTACAACAGTAGTTCTCCGTCAGGTTGGCCTCGGGATGCGTGCTTTGGTTAATCCTGGAAAATGTACTAAATTATTTTACTAAACTGTAAACTCAACAATAAAATGCCACAGACAACTAAACAATGAAAACGTTTTTGCCACACATGTTACCTTTATTCTTGTCCATTAAGCTGTTTCATCAAAATATACTATTAGAATACATTTTTCTGAGCTGATCCCAAGCTCCCCAAATTTCTGTGCATTGCATGGAAAAAAAGGGAGCACACCAAAAAGTGTATATTTTTGTCTCCATCCTGTCTGTGTGGAGGGTAATTTGTGTGTAGTAATTCACTTTTCTAATGTGAATACTCAACTAAGCTTAGAATTATTTTGACATTTGGATTTCAGAACATAGCTTTATAAAAAACGAGGAGCAGAACTCATCTCTCATTTTGAATGATCATCGTACTTTGTCTGATGAGGTGTGTTGATGTTCCATTTCTGGCAGGTGATCCCCTTACGAGTTTTGCGGACCATGCCTCTGTAGTTTTTTCCATTTCCATGGTAGCAATCTGTAAAAAAAAATACAATTGAAATGACAGGGCCATGATAATGTATAGCTCAGTGAAAGCTATATAAAAGTACAAAAATAATGTAAACAACACTGAAACTCCCCATTCTCATGAAGGGCCTTAGCCGCCATTTCTATACTATTTGTATATTAATTATCCTCTTGATGGGTATAATGTACATAAATTGTATCGATGTTTTTTCGAATCTATATTCCAAACAATCAAATAAATCAAGGATTCTGCATTTCCCCACCAGAACGGTATTTTTTCAGTTGATGTAACTTCTACGGAGGAGCAGCCCCCGTTGCCATAATGGACGATAACATGATAATGGTAAATGGAAAGATAGTGTACGGTACAGAAGTGATAAGCTTAAATGTGCCAGCACTGAATTGACATGAATTAGACTTTGATGCAACCTTATGAAATTATCAATTTGTAGTTTTATAAAGTAAACCATAGAGATAGAAACTGTGACTGCTGGTCCAAAACGTTTCTTGGAGTTGCACTGGAGGGAACTTTGACTCATCTCTCTAGTTGCTTACTACATATTTATCCATTGCAGTTGACAAAAAGCTAATAATGAAGAGTACCTTCAGCCTCTATGTCGTCTGCGCAGCGTTTGATCTGTAGGCAGAGAGCAGTCCTCATCTCAGGCACAGATGTGAAGCACCAGGGAGCCTCCGACCCATCTGGGTTACGACAGTAGTTCTCCTCCAAACCCCTGCAGGAGATGTCTCACTCAGTCAGGTTAAATTGGTTTGGTTTTTATTCTTTTATTTAACAACCTACACACAACACAGTTTTTCACATAATTACTTTAAAAACAAACAACTACAAACAGACAATAAACTACCCCTTTCAAATTGTTATGCTTACAATTGAAGCATGGAAAAACATAAAGTCAAAATGTCCATGCTGGTCCTGTCCTGAGACCAACCAAATTTAAATTATGACTTTTCTGTTACAATAAAACACCTTTTAACAGTCTGTTAATTTGCCTTTAAGGCATTTATTGGTACATGGCTTGCTGGAAGGTACTGAACTCTCTGTAGAAGACATGTTGTTGTATAAAAGAAACACATTATTAAAAGCACAATACATCATAGATTGTCTAAAGGCCACATATACTTTCTTGCAGCTAACAATAAAAAGAACAATAAAAAAAAGAACAAAAAGCAAAACAATTCTCTATTAAAAATATAAAGGCATTACAATGAGAATGTCACCAAGACATAATCTACTGTATATTCTCTGCCTGTTTAATATTGTGATTAAAATCTAATAAAATACTTTCATCCAAAAATCTATTTTTGATAAAATGGATGATTGAAATGATCATAATCGATTTAGGCATGATGAAGGATTACCACATTACAAATAAGCTTAATATTCATTTCACATCCATTTTGCCAGTCAGAGTGCGACCCGCTCCTTAATCTGGAAATGCTGACCATTTATCATCAACTGTCAACTGTCACCAGAGAAATAAGATCGCAAGAAACTTCACAGAAAGGACATCTTGACATTAATATTCATGTGTCGAGCAAACTAAAAGTCCATTAGTGCAGAAAATAACCCCAAAGTATTTCAGAAACGATCAACTTCTTATTTTTTCCTCCATCACGCTGTGAGTTGTACTTACTTGCATTCGTAGGTGTTGGGGTAGAAGGGATGCTCATGAGGGTGCTGGGCATCCCACCGCTGGCAGGGGATCCCTGAGGTCGTCTCGTTCACTCTGCCACGGTAATCTTCCCCGCGGCCACGGAAACAGTTTGTTGTGGAGCTGGAGCGTGGGCGCTTATCTACCCGCACCTCAGCTGAGAGAGCAACAGCAAGTTGAAGAGGGAATAAAGATGAGTGACAACACAGAGGTGATGCTAGTTAATATGGTCCCTCTGAGCATAATGATTTGTATGCCCCTGTATTGTATTGAAATTAAACAGAGAGTGAGAGGTGTGACATGCAACAAGGTCAAAAAGCTGGAATTCAAAGGTCACCTATTATGCAAAATCCACTTTTTCATGTCTTTTATACATAAACATGTGTCCCCTCTGTGTAAAGAGATTCTGAAAGTTTCAGGAAAAAAGATTCGCTCACTTTTTGTCCTGATCCATTTCTATAAAAACCTGTCTGAAAATGAGCTGATCAGATTTTGGCCACTTTATGATGTCATAACGATTTGTTGACTTGTGTAACCATTAGCCAATCACCAACCAAGGTAACCCCCCCCTCCACCTTATCACCTGAATCTCCTCCAAGAGCACCACTGTGTGTTTTTTTTTTTAAACCAATCATCTCTCAGAGGGGCATGGGGAGTGGCTCCTTATTTTTCATCTAAAGTAACAGACAGAGAATCAGCACTTTTGAAACAGGGCTGAAACAGAGGGGATTATGGGATGCTACAATGAATGATCTGTTGGGTATTTCGAGCCAAACACTTCAGAGACATGTTTGTATATATCTGAGACCTATAATATATTCATGAAAAACAGTATAATAGAGGACCTTTAACCTTGGGGAATTTGGTTTGAACGGTATGCACTGTAACCATTGAGCTGAATTGCCAAAATTAATACGAGAATTTCTCATTTGTTATTTTGATTGTGTTTCGTTTGTCCTGGACAGAATAACTGAAAAAAACTAAAAGGTTGAATTTATAATATAGTTATTAATCTTATAATTACACCAAAATTGAAAATGAAACCATGTGATATTTTGTATGTATGTTCTTGTTAATCTATGACGATGAAGGGAATTTATTTTGAGTATTGTTTTGTAATCTGACTCAACACTGCCTGCGCCACTAGATGGCGGTATCTTATCGATGTTTGGACCCAGAGATTTCTGCATTGAGGGGAAATGCCAATTCTGCCAGTGTCATCTTGCACAACTTGTGTTGAAATTCTGGAAAAAACACAGATGCCCTGTTTGGGTTTGTTTATTTAAATATCTTCTGAAGATAAAGGGTCAGCATTTGAGTCTGCCGTGCTGTTTTATTTATTATATTGAACACAAGCTAAATATTTAGAATCAGAGGAAAAGCCTTAAAAACATACATTTGAATGTAAAAATACCACATTATTCAATTCACGTTAAGTACACAATACCTTATAACTCTTATCATAGCTACCTTTAAATGTTGTTTGTATGTATTTTTGGTAAATAATTGAACTACTACCTCTCCCATCATAGAAATGTAAATTATACTTCAGTAAAAGCTTGTAGAAACTCAATGACATAAAAACAAGCTGTACAATAACAAACAAAATAATTAAATAAACATTGTAATTAACCTGAAACCTTGTGAGACCATGCAGGTTCAGAATCACAGACAAAAAATGTGCAAATGTTAGTCGCACTTACTCTTAAAGAGTTATTGAGCCCACTGTGTAATTTGCACAAACACCAAAAAGGTGATTTCTCTAAATGTAATTACAGCAACTTAATGAGGCACTCTAACTCCACTGTGTCTCCTAATGCCGCAAGAAACAACTTCATTTAGCTCATGTCTCCTTGGATTGTGTCCGAGGGAACTAATGGCAAAAACAAAATAGAAAAGAAAAAGATAGACTGTCTGGAGAAAACTTATGGTAGTAAAGAGTACAAGGTATTTTTTTAAATTAATGAACACTTTGGTCTACAAACTGTAAACTAAAAAGTGTACACTTCCTGTTTTATTTCCCAGAATCCAAGGCACATATGTGAAACTTGGTCCAACCACTACCTATTAAATTAAATAGGTATACATGTTCAGTTTACTTTCACAGGAGAGGATCTCTACTGCTGAGAAGCTGGAAATGTTTGGCATTTTACACAAAAGTGGCTGATTATTTGTCATCTACTGACAAATTATCTAACTGTTCAATCTTTAATATTACCCTGGATATTGTTTATAGCGTTATATATAGACTATGTACTATTAGGGGGACTAATAAAGGTATTCTGATAAAGAAGCCACGTCTTACTGCACTTGCTGATCTCACAGTTCTCCCGCTCCGTCTCGGTGTCGGTGGTGTAGCACCACGGCACGGGGGAGGCGTCCGGGTTACGGCAGTAGTTGTCATCTAAACTCTTATCTGGATATCTGAAAAAACGTAATTTATGATGTCCACAATAAGGAAATAGTTCAGAAGAATTTCATTGCCATTTCTACACTGTAGTAGCTATGTGCATATGACAATAAAACCTTTGAATCTTGAATCTTGAAAAGGACTTAAACATCACTTTACATGATGAGTACATTTGATTGTGTAGTGAATTACTTTTCAGGCTGGTAGATGTGTTGGTGCGGGTACTGCTGGTCCCATCTCTGGCACTCTCTGCCGCTCACAGTGTGATCCACCTGTCCTCTGTAGTCCTCTCCGTTACATGTGATACATACCTCTACAAACAAAACCACAAACACAGCTTCAACATCAGGAGGGAAGCAGGAAGCAAACTAAATAAATACACACATTTTATTTTACATATCCGATTACGCCCAAATAATTCCACCAAAAGAAGGTGATGTAATTTTTGTTTTGTAAAAGCCACAAGGAAATGGATTTCAATTTGTTCACTTGGTAATTATAACCTTCTCTTACCAAAGTAACAATTTCAGTGAAAAAGGGGAGTAAAGGTTTCCAACAAAACAAGAATTGTCTTCGGTTTAAATTCATTTGAGTGAGTTTTCAAGTTCTTTTGCGGCAAATAGACTTGCTTTAAACTCTATCTAAATATTTATATTCGCAATTATTTCTTTAAAAACTCAAATTATTGAGTGAACTACTATGTGTTCATTCTCTGTTTTACCTATGATTTGTACCAAAATTATGTAGCTTGTTTGTTGCTTTAAAAGTATTGATACCATTTTTTTTTTACATCACACAGCACTTGTTACGACTTGTATGGGATGTACCATCTTTACACTGGGGGATGTTGCAGCTCTCATAGCGGCGCTCAGGGTCGGTGGTGTAGCACCACGGGCCGATCCGATCCCCGTCTGGATTCCTGCAAAAGGCCAGCTCCAGACCGTTGGTAGCTGTGGGAGTCCACCTGAGACCAGCAGAGAAATATACAGTGAGCGACAGACTGTTTGATCACACCGTCTCATATTTATTTAAAGAGCCCTTTTAAACCTGTCATTGGATTTGCAATGCAACAGGTTAAAGCGTCGACTCTCAGCTTTAATCACAGGTGTTTACATCCACATTACATAAATAGCGTGGGAGTTGGAGCCTCTTTATACACAGTTTCCTGTTTTAGATGACAAATTACAATTAACCACAAGCTATAATACAACAATTACTGACACATCTGGAAAAACTCCTGCCACCTCCTTTAAAAAACAAGGTTCATGAGAGTTTAGAAAATAGGCCAGAAAAACTCAAATTAGTCTGGAAGGTGGCGATGGGTTGGCATCAGTCAGTGACCCCCTTTTACATCACAGCCATTTAAATCAACTGTTTAAACACAAATATGTTATATAATATTGATTGAAACTTTAAATAAAGCTGTCACATTTACTATTTTGTCAAAATCTTAAGTCTATAAAAGCTAAACCCCTAAACGCCAACAAACTATCTTCTGTCCTGTACTGTGGCCATCTTTGCTTCCTGATATTTTGGGTTGTTAAAAACACCATGAGTTGGAGGCATTCAACAGTTTGGCCATAAAACACTTCCTGTTCAGATTGCCTGTAGGTAAAGGATCTATTAAATTGGAGGCTTATGTGTAAAAGCATTTTCAAATATGTAAGTTATCTGAATATCAGCTGTCTAACCCCATAATCTTTCTTTCACTTTAATCTGATGCCTGATACACTGCATGAGCCTCTAAAGAGATTAACACGGTCTCACCTGTGATCGTGAGGGAACTTGGACCACCACTGTTGGCATTTGAGCCCACCTCTCGTGGTGAAGACTTTCCCTCTGTAGTCTTCTCCTTTACCCACGATGCACTTTCTGACATAGACTGCATAATAAAAAACAACAATGAATCCCCTCCAGAATTGACCACTCGCAGTGATGTCTGTGTTATCACACAATGAGTCTCACCTTTCTTCTCGTAGAGGTCACAGTTTACGTTCCTCTTCACCTCAGCGTTGCTCCCATCCTCCACCCAGGGCAGATGTTTACAGGAGACAGTCGGACGGGTCTCGTAGTTGAACGCTCTGGTGTTAAAGGGATGTTTTCATGTCAAAACGTTATTGGATACTAACCTACAGGAAGGCATACTGATGAAAGGGTTAGTTTGAATCAGTTTCCTTTAAGGATCGTTAACACAACATAACAACTAAGGCTGCAATTTAGCATTATTTCATTGTCAATTAATATTCTTTTTCATTCAGTATTTTCTGGATTGTTTTCATTTGGTTTATATGATGTCAAAAGGAGAATACAAATTGCTCATCCAAGTCTCTAAAAGTTCATGGGGATGTCTTTTACTATCCTGTTTTGTCAGTTCAAATTCCAAAAGTATTCAATTCAATGTTCAATCAATTTTCAAATTGTGTTGGATATTATATTTCTGTGGATTGGCTAATCAATTCGTCAAGTATCTACAATTCTCCTGGACAGAATTCAGGTTTTTTATAACAAAGAGTTCACAGTGGCCATCATTTCTGTCAGCGATAATAAATTGATCTTGAGACATGCTTGAAGGAGCAACTACACGTCAGACCTCACAGTTTAAAAGTTTGGATGATCAATCTGAACTGTTTGTTGATAACCTGCATCATCTCTGATAGGATTACAACTTCAAAATGAAGGTTGAAATAGACCAGAAGATTACCTTTGGTTTAGAGATAGGTGTCTTTTTACAGTATAAATCTTATTGGACACTTTGGTCTGGAGGAACTGTTGTCTAGTGATGCTGTATCAGAGTAAAGGCTGGGTACCTGCAGTCCAGAGACTGTGAGCAGCGAGTGGCGCAGTCCTCCAGGTTCAGGACCGCTAACAGCAACATCTGAGCTGAGTTCCAGGAGGTGGGGACGAGCTCTCTGCCCTCAGAGCGCTGGAAGTCATTCAGTGGACTGCGGTAGGCTGTTTATGAGAACAGAGGAATAAAACCTAATGTGCCTGGCATGACGGCATCTGTCTGTTTAGTGGTGGTGCTCTCTGGTACCAACTGCAACATTTGGGCACGAGCCTGCACACATATAACCTTTGGACCAAGACGCTGACACCAGAAAAAGCTTCAAACAGCAACTCAGTACACCTGGTTCCTGAACCAGACCACCACCACAACATCTACTGCTATCACAAGTAATGCAGAACATGTATAACAGCATAATCCTAGTACTCTGAAAAAGGTTACATTAAAAATATTTTGAGGTGTTTTGGGGATTTTTATTTGATCTTTTTAGTTTACACATTCCTTAATAAACACACTTACTCTTCATCGTATCCTGATCCATAAATATATAATTAAATAACTGTCTAGGGAGGAAATGTAGCTGTAAGTATTTAAATATGTATACATTACTTGAGTATTTATTTATGCTACCTTAGATAAACTGAAGGCTGGGGTGTTACTTGAGATATTCTCATATGTAATACTTGATCAGCTAAATAAATAAAAAATGTAATGCATCGTCACAAAGCTTGTAGAGATCTGTGGTTCTTACAGGTCAGCGACACCACAAAAAGGATGATTTATAGAATATGATTGATTAGTTTGTATAATAAATCACCCAACAAGACATACAACTTAAATATCAACAGCAGTTAATAGTCAATACAACATTAATGCAGCAGTAACATAATGTTTAGTAAAGCACTGAGAGGAAACAAATGAATAGCCTACTTTTTCTTTTGATACTTTAAGCACATTCTGCAGATAACAAATACTTTGAATTCATTACTTTTTTGTATTTGAGCCTTTCAGAGTGTGGTACTGATACTTCTAATCAAACACTTCATCAAACACTCCAAAAGATTCAACTCCCAGTAACTTACTATTTTTTATTTGTGCTGTAGGCTCAATTATTTCTAACTACACAGACAGTAACCAAACAGGGCATTACTCTGAATCACAAATCCAAATACAGTCTAATAACACCAAATATTTAGCACTATCATAACAACAAAGATAATTTAACAAAGACATTTATGATTATAAAACAGTCTTACCAATGGCCGGTGCGACTGTCACCAGAATAAAGTGCAGAAACAGTTTCATTGTTTCAGGTCTTTGGACGGGAACAACAGATTTAGCGGGCTAGAAGTCAGACTGGGATCTCTGAAGTCCGATCACCGGTCGATCTGATAATGACCAAAAGAAAATCCCCAGAAAACAGCAGAAAACGCAGAAAGCATACAACCCTGACACCCACCCGAGCCCTTATTCAAACAGAGGCTCTAATCCCCAAAACACAGGCAATCAATACTGCGTGTCAATCATTAATGGAGTGGCACAGCCAGGGTCTATTTTTCATCATATGCACTTTGGCACATTGTTACAGGAGATTAAACCACATCTTTAGCACAATTAGTTTTGAAGTTAGTCAGAAAAAAAGCTATTCTCTTTACAAACGCTAGACGTCAGAGTTTTTTTATCCTGTGTTCCGGGAAATAAAATGAAACTCTTTGGTGAAGCTGACTTCATGACTTGACTGTCTTGCTTTACTTTTATCATCGATTCATCACTACAGGCTGTCAGGTAACACATGTTCTCATCGTGTTTGTGATGAAGTGCACAGAGCGATATTATACATCGAATGATCTAATGTGGATTTTGGTCGTTTAACCTGAAAGCTGGCCACAAACTCTGATTTTAGTCTTAACACAGAACTGGACGCGAGTTGGCTGCAGTGAAAAACAAAATGAAAGCCCAGCACTTCAACGCCTAGGGAGTGTGGACAAATGAACAGCAACACCGTGCAAAACGCTGCAGTCCTAACATGTTTGTGGAGCAACATAACATGTCTGGTTGAAACTGTGCCAGAAAAAGTGTTGTTGTGAAATCGGAATTAACATTGTGTGTTAATGTCTTCGGCTACCTCCAGAGGTGAAATAATTACTAAGATCTTGTAGGCTACTTGAGTAAAAGTACCAGGGTGAAGGAATGCTCTGTTACAAGTAAAAGTCCTGCAATCGAAATGTTACTCAAGTAAAAAAGTATTAGCATCAAAATGTACTCATTCAGATTGGCCCTTTTCAGAATGATATAATATGAGATTATAATAAGTGATGCATTAAGTGTTTATCAAAGCATGTAAAGGAGCAGGTAGTTTTAAATATTTCGTATACTGCAGGGTATATTGTGAATTTAATCCAGGTGTAACTATAAATCTTATTTAAGTGGTAATTAAAGTTAAAATCATAAATCCTAACCTGCAAAGTAACTAAAGGTATTACATAACTGTAGTGGAGTAAAATTACAAAGTAGCATACAATGGAAATACTCAAGTACAAGTACCTCAAAATTGTACTTAAGTACAGTACTTGAGTAAATGTATTTAGTTAGGCTACTTTACACCACTGGATAGCCTACCTCCTGATACTTTTTTTTATAAAAAAAGACTTGGCTGTATGTACTGCAATTTAGTTATTTATCAAGTTTCTTCACTTTAGGTACACTGGAGCTTTGATGGCAAACATTGACGGTTTATTTGGAGCTTCGGCCGGAGAATTCACAAGACATGTCACGGGCCACGAGTTGACCACACAGTTGAGATGCCACAATCAATTCTGAAGAACTCTACCCCAGACCCACGTATTTAGCTAGTTCAGAGAGAATAATCAACATTGTGCATAACAAGATCATAATCAGCTGACGCCAACAGGCAGGAACAGGGAGACAAAACACTGAGAGCACAGCAGCCAAGGTTACAGGTGCCTGTGCTCAGTCAGGACAGTATGAACTGATGGGTCAAAGCTATGGGCCTTGGAAAATATTTCCCCAACTCCTATTAGTATAATAAATAATTCAATTTCTATTTAAAGGGGACCTATCATGCAAAATGCACTATTTGATGTCTTTTATACATAAATATGTGTCCCCAGTGCGTCGGGGAACTCACATAGCGTCAGAAAATAAAACCCTTTTCTCTTTTGCTCCGTACCCAAATCTTTTAAAAACGGGGGTACAACCATGGATGTATAATAAGAACTGGATACAGTGTGGGAGGCGGGGCCTCGTTAATTCCTATGAGAGTTGCTCATTGGCGCACGAAGACAAAATTGCCCAACTTTTGAGAGAGCGAAACGTCACGAATGTATTAATATAATCATATAATCCGTTCTTATTGTGAATCCATGGGTAAAGGTAAAACTCATGTAGTACTGAACACATCACATGAACGTGCCGGGCGTCGCGGTCCCGTGGGTTAGATCCGCGTTCATAATAGAGAGGCGAAGTCCCTCACCTTCCGGTGGACCTCCATGGGACCTTATTTGGGAAAAAAAAAAATCCAAGTCAATGGAGAGAGAAAGATTATCTTTCGATCCCGTTTGAATTGTGCCACGAATTACACATAGCCTATGATGTTTGTCAATTTAAAAGATCATTTTGCAAGTCAAAAAAATTAAAATGTGTCGTAAAACTGTGAAGTAACACATTTTTCAGTGTGAAACGCTCAATGAATTACATCTCTGTTCTCGCACACGTCACCAACACCAAGATGGCCGTCACGTTAGCACATTTCACCTCTTTCTTTCAGGATAAAGTGAAAAGTATTAAAAGAGGTGAAAATCACTACAAGCCTGGGCATGTTGAGAGCTGTATATACGAACAAGGGGAGTTAGTCGGTTCCGTAAGAGCCAGCATGCGGGACCGGCTTTACAAGGTTTCGGTGAGTAACACGAGTGTAATGTGTAACGTTAATGACATCACTTACGCGACTCTGGGATTTGTAGTCTTTCTAGTTGCGTATTTTTTCATAGTCTAGATAAAAAAAAAATTATCCAACGATTTACAGACGTCTCTTCCCCAATGGGAAAAAGTATTTCCGGGCCCAGCGACTGTTACGGAAGTGTAGTACCGCCGTTTGGCCACAACGAATATTTTTCCTCAGAGTCCGGCGCACTTCCTGGGGGCTTACAACGAGCGGATACAGTGGGTGTTTCTAGATGTCAAGGAAGGATGCTCCAGAGCCCCTATTTCAAGGATGCTACGTCATCGAGTCCCACCGAAGGATTGTTCCAATGTCCAGGCTCCCTGGAATTCTACCGAGCCCGGCGTCCTTCATAGCGAGAAATTTCGAGGCTGCACAGTGTATCCTCCGCGGTCTCAAAAATCCCCACAATGCTTTGCGCACGGACCAATTTCCAAATCTTTGGCGGAAATCGTGCTCCATTAAAGCGGGGGCCTCGCATATGATGCACACCTGCACACCTGTTAGCCTGTTCCACCCAGGGTGTTTCTCAATGTCGAGGACGCTTCCTTGGTAGGACATGTCATCCGAGTCAGGTCCTTCAGAAGCGAGGCAAGAATCCTTCCTGGCCTCGGAAAACGAAGAATGGTCGGAACAGGCTAACAGGTGTGAGTCATATGAGAGGCCCCGCCTTACATTTTCCGCCAAATATTTGGGAAATTGGTCCGTGTGCAAAGCATTGTGGGGATTTTAAGACCGCGGAGGATACACATGTGCAGCCTCGAAATGTCCCGCAACGAAGGACGCCGGCCTCGGTAGAATTCCAAGGATCCTGGACATTGGAACAGTCCTTCGGCGGGACTCGATGTCGTAGCATCCTTGAAATAGTGGCTCTGGAGGAGCCTTCCTCGACATTGAGAAACACCCCCAGATTTGCTGCCGATATGACGTCAAATTGGCGGCGGACCCACAGAAATGGGCTATCAGAAACAATGTCTGACGTGTTTTGGACGTAATCTCGTCTTTGTTTACATTAGCAATCCTCGCTAACACTCAGAGCTAACCTGTACTGTAGAGCAAATGTGTTTAAAAAGCAGAAAATAATAAAAGGAACTCATCTTGTGGTAAACCCGCAAGAGAAAAAGTTGAGTATTTTGTGATGCTAATTCCTATGTACTTTTGCTTTACCACACTATAATAATACCAGCCTACCAGCTTGAGGTGAACCGATGGTTTTCTGCTGCTTTTCTCTTCAGGATGTCAGCTGTGAGGATGACAGAGGGGAGTGTACAGGTGGAGAGCTGCAAAGCGCCGCTCTTCTACAGACAGAGTGAACCTGCCGCAGGGGAAGTGAGGATGTCAGTTTTACTCCTTCACGGCATCCGTTTCTCTTCAGAGAACTGGCTCAACATCGGCACTCTGGAGACTCTGGCCAGAGCAGGCTGCCGCGCGATCGCCATCGACCTGCCAGGTCAGTCTATCAGGATTCTCCCTCAGTTTAACACTCAAATAAAAATAAACTTAAATGATCACAATTTTGAATAATTCTGTAAAAAAATAAAATGGTGTTAAAAAATCATAATAGGATAATTGAAAACTTCAGCTAAAACTAAACCTTATTGACTAGACTAAATGCCAAGGTTCATCTAAAAAGTGGATGTAAGATGTTTTCTAAACCCAGACATAAATATTGTTCCAATTCCTAAATTGAGTGTGTTTTCAAAATGCACCTGTACCCTTTATCCTCATGTAGTATCTGTGCCTCATGTCTCTGCCTCCACATCTATCAGTTTAAAAACCTTTACACAAAATCTTCTAGTACCAAATAAATGTGAAACCTGGCCTTCTTCTCTCACGCCTTTAGTCTGCTTCCTCCCTCTCTGTTCGCAGGACTGGGCCGCTCTAAGTCAGCCGAGGCCCCGGCAGCGGTTGGAGAATTGGCCCCTGCAGGGTTCCTGAGAGAGGTGTGTGAGCAGCTGAGCCTCAGCCCGGCGGTGGTGATCAGCCCTTCGCTCAGCGGGATGTACTCCCTGCCTTTCCTCATACAGCACCAGGCTCTGATCCGAGCCTACGTCCCCGTGGCTCCCATCTGCACCGACAAATTCACAGCAGAGCAGTACCAGAGTGTAAAGGTACAGTGTGTGTGAGGTTATTATTTAGATTCCTTTGAAGTTTCCTTCCTTTAAAAAAAACTCCTTTCCTCTTAACTTGAGCAACCGTGAATGTCAACCCCGTTTTCCAGCACAACCTTCTTCCCTTTTACATGCGACCATGAAAGGAGCAGATATCATGTGACTTTCACACTGTCTTTCATCCAGCTCTCAACTATTACAAAATTCAATTTCTTAGATGGCAAACCAAGTGAAGCGGCATTATCCATGAAGGAGACGTATTAGTTACTCAAAAGTAGTTCCCCTGCAATGACGAACATGCCTGAGTAAATGCAAAAAGAGTGAGAGCATCATGGCTACTTAATGCAGTGACATGATATCATGTGAGTGAGATGTTGATATCAAAAGCATTAAAAACTGTTAAACAAAATTATTAAAAGCAAGTAGTGAAATGTAAAAAGTAACTTTACAGGATGACTTCAGCAGGGAGAGACATTACTTCAACTTTACAAAAACATCAAGGCATCAGTAATTACAGCACAGTTATACCATTTCTGTACAATGAGTACGTTTACTTTTAGGGTTATCCTGGTTTAAAGTCTGAAATGCAAATTGTTAACAAAATGGCTATTTGAAACATTATTAAAGTTATCGTTTAAACTTTTCTGAAGCTTGACATTTTAAATCTGATGACAGACGTTATCAGGAGGTAAAAGTTGTTTTTTATCTAATCGATGGAACATGGATCATTAGCACACATCCCAAAATAAGATAGGACAAAGGCTTACTCAGCGCAGCAAACCCGAAAATAGAGAGATGAAACCCTAAAATGACGAAGCTTGTTTCATAAAGAGGTACTTTTTTTTCCAAGCTGTACGACCATTTGACAAACACTTCATATAAAGTATTCTGGTGGTTTAAACAGTGGTTGAGGTAAAATAGAGGACATCTACAAAATCCTATTAGCAAGGGGCTTACAAAAAACAAACAGGACTATGGACATTTTAGAAGTATTTACCACCCAAGTTTTGTGTCCCATCTCTCCTTCAGGTCCCATCACTGATCGTTTACGGGGACCAGGATGCTCAGCTTGGAGAAGTGTCTCTAAGCAACCTGAGGAACCTAGCCAATCACAGCGTGGTGGTGATGAAAGAGGCGGGTCATCCCTGTTACTTGGACGACCCGGACACTTGGCACAAAGCTCTCACCGACTTCCTGAAGACGCTGTGAACCCCTTGCTGTGCTTCATTGGAGAGAAGCTCAACAATCACACATTAACTTAGGAGCCACACAAATATTCCTCGATATGAATTAATCAGAAATGTAGGCCACAGACGTCTTGCACAACCTGATTTAGAGTTTTTAAATAGTGCCAAGAATGAAATATGCTTATTCACTTTTTAGCCCAGAGTTAAAGGTAGGTAAGTTTGAGAAACCGGCTCGAGATACACTTTTTGTTATATTCCTTGGAATGCTCTTAACATCCCGATAGCAATGAATATCTTTAAGTGCTTTGACAAAAAATCCATTAAAAAAATTCATCTGTGGAAGCCGTAATACTGTAAAAAGCACGACCAATCATTATTTTAGCCGGCCCGGCTAAAATAACTGGATGGCCTACCTGCCTGTCAGCCTTCCATTTGTGCACAAACTGAACTCATGCCCTCAGAGTGGCGAAGTCACGCCCATCTACTTCCGCCCCATGGGACCTTATTTCTGAAAAAGTATGTATTGAAGTCAATGGAGAGAGAAAACGTATCTTTCGATCCCGTTTGAATTGTGCCATGAATTACACATATGATGTTTGTCAATCTTAAAAAATAATTTCCATGTCAAAAAAGTCAGTTTGTCTTAAAACTGTTGAAATATAAGACTATGAAAAATACGCAACTAGAAAGACTACAAATCCCAGACTCGCGTACATTAACGTTACACATTACACTCATGTTACTCACCAAAACCTTGTTAAGCCGGTCCCGCATGCTGGCTCTTACGGAACCGACTAACTCCCCATTTGTGTATGTACAGTTCTCAACATGGCCAGACTTGTAGTGATTTTCACCTATTTTAATACTTTTCACTTCATTCTGAAAGAAAGAGGTGAAATGTGCCAACGTGACGGCCATCTTGGTGTTGGTGACGTATGCAAGACCACAGTTGTAGTTCATTGAGCGCTTCACACAAAAAAATGTGTTACTTCACAGTTTGACACATTTTTATTTTTTTGACTTACAAAATTATCTTTTAAATTGACAAACATCATAGGCTATGTGTAATTCGTGGCACAATTCAAACGGGATCAAAAGATAATCTTTCTCTCTCCATTGACTTCAATACCTGATTTTTCCAAAATAAGGTCCCATGGAGGTCCCCCGGAACGGGAAGGACTTTGCCACTCTATTGGTCATGTCAGCGCCATGAGCTATAGATAGAATATTGTATTATGGCTCTGGGTCATGTGTGCGTTTGTGTGTGTTGGAGGAGGAGAGGGGTCTGCCTGCAGACCTCCACTCTCAGGACAGTTCCGGTGCAGACCTCCACTCTCAGGACACCTCCACTGTCAGTACAGGAAGTGACGATTCTGACGTCTGCTAGGCTAATACAACCCAGTCTCATGGCATTTCGTGTTCACCAACACGATTTTTAATCTATTGATTCGTGTTCACCAACACGATTTCCCCCTTTTTTCGTGTTGCACAGCACGATTTTAAAAGCAATGTATTTCTACTGGTAATGTGTTTCGTGCCTGCAGCACGTCTTTTTCTCCGGTCGGGTCGTGGAAGACCGGAAGGTGTGTGGTTCATAAAAACATGTTCTTACTCAATATCAAGCCACAATTATTGCTTTTATCTTAAATCGTATAATTTCGGACTTTTGTTGAGGAAAATAAATGGGGCTCAGAGCCTCAGGATACTGAAATCTGTATTTTTTTAAATCTTTGTTTCCTTTTAATTTGTTATTATTTTCAAAATAACACTGTTATTTACTCAGACTGGGTTGGCTAATAGTGATGCTAATGATAGCTAATTCCTAATAGTAGTAGGCTATGTGTCGTTTGTACAGTGCTACTTATGTAAAGCCTGCATACTTATGTGTTTTATTTCTGTATTGTTACAGTTTTACAAAGTAAAAGAAGGACAGTAAAGTCAAGAAAGAAAACCTTGCATCTTTATTGGAGGACTTTTAAATGTTAGCTAACTGTCTAGCTACGCATAGGGATACGCGCTGTAAGGGCAGAACAGTTCAATCAATCTAAGTGATACTGTACTGATATTAACTACAATACAAGGTGTCCCTATATATACGGTGGGCGGACTCATCACCTCCGTGATGATCTCCATTGTGATTTGAACAATTCCATCAAACGATTCCTTCGGTGGGCGGGGAAAAAAACGTGTTCGTCAGAATCGTCACTTCCTGTACTGACAGTGGAGGTGTCCTGAGAGTGCAGCCTGCACCGGAACTGTCCTGAGAGTGGAGCTGGAGTGGAGGTCTGCAGGCAGGCTCCCATGGAGAGGAGGGGCTCTGTAATCTCTGCAGATTTTTTCCGGTTGTGTATTTTCAAATTCTAGCGCACTCGAGCTGGTTTCTCAAATTACCTACACCATCTTTAAATGAGACGATTGATAGGCTACATTTGAAGTAAACTCAAACAGCCGACTCACTTAGTTTAGCAGGGAGACTTGACAGACGCGCAAACAACCATCCTGGCTCTTTCTAAAAGTAAAAAAAATCAATCTACCAGATTATGAAAAAGATTAATCAAGCATCTTTTTCACTCTTTGTGCTATGCTAAACAAAGCTTGATTAGCTTAAACCATATTTAGCATAAGTAGTGATAGTTGTCAATAAGTGTTTCCCTTTTAGCTAATACTGTATATCATGGTAAAGCTGCAATTATGCACTTATCTTATACAAAATACACTTTATATGTAACTGGTAAATGAACAATTCTTAACCTGTCTCGACTGAAAAAACAAACACCACACGCTGAAATGAAGTGAAAAATATGAACATTATTTAATAACTGATTCTCTGTAATAAACAATTTGAAAATATTTTACAAGGAGTCACAGACACAATATTTTACAAATTTTGCCCTCTTCTTTTTATCTATTTTTTTTAAGCTTCATCTGTACAAAAGAATGGAGCGACATGGACCGGTGCCCAGAAAAGAAGGAGCTAAATCATCCACACACACCAACATTCACACTCACACACGTACAACAAAATGAAACTAAATTCAATACATTTTTTACTTCAGATCTCAAACTTATCAACAGTGCTGTATTCCTATATTTTTTATAACTTCACTTAAAATTTGACTGATTTAACTATTTTTTTACTCTAAATGTTGCTGTAATTTTTGTACACACTTGTCAAACATGGTCACATAGCACCAGACTACAGAATCACATACACACTGTGTCTTTCCCACAGAGACGCACCAACACAGATGCAGCGAGGGTCGGGAGGGGGGCAAGAGGCTTTATGAAAACCATCCCCTACTTAATTTAGGGTTGAGTCCTAAAGCAGACCCCCTCCCTTTCATCATCCCCAGGCTGGTCCAATTTTATATTTTTATTTTATATTTTGGCAAAAGTAAATTTGTCAAACCACAGAAATCAGTTGCGTGTGCCCTTCAGAAGATGTTTCCCTCGTTGGGATGCACACACAGACATCACTACAGGATTCCTCTCTGACCTTCAGTACGACGGCTGCTCTGTGGAGACCCACTCCCTGAGCTTGCCTCTGACATTTCACCCGCTCTCAAAAAAACACACCTGGGAAGTGACGTCCTTGGCTTACTTCTGCCTGGTGCTTGACATCTCCCAGCTGGGCATGAATAAGTGTCAGCACTACATGTTTGCTCGTAGGTGTGTTATGCATAATGTCTTGGTGCCGGTGCAAACAAACTGTAGGCCTACATATTCAGATTATGTGTGAGGACTGTAAGCGTACAAGGGCCAGGAAAAGAGAGGAAGTTGCAGGGGGTACATTTCCACAGGCACGTGTAGCGCTCATTTACAGGCAGTGGAAATACAGACATGATTAAATGGCACAGGACAGAGACAAACAAATGCCAGAAACTTACAACTGCATCCGGTTATCAACACTGCCAAATTGAAAATACAATAATTTTTTAACAGTCTCTTGTTTTGTTTTTTTTAGATTAGTTTTTGGAGCCGAGCTGCAGTTTCTCTGCCAGCATGTTTGTCACATCAAAGAGTACCAACAACTGTACAGAGTGTGTGGTTAAGTTCAAATTGTGAATCGTCCCACCTGAGCGATACAGTGAGGTTTGGGTGGGTGTGAACATCGAAGGTCGGAGGCTTTTTGAAATGGAAAACTCCCACCTGGCTTTCAAGCATTTAATAAAAAAACAGGCATCAATCAATAACGAATCATCAAAGACGCGATAATACAAAATAAGAGCTCACTATACTTACTGCAGAACACCAAGAAAACCCGGGGAGTGAATATTTTGGAGGATCTTTTTGTGTGAGTGTACATGAGGGAGGGAAACGTATCAGAGCTCTGTACTGTGTAACACTAAGGCATTTTGAGAGGCTTTGTTAGCTATGTTGCATTTGAAGCAGAAACACTGATGAGCTACACATTCTTTCAGACACCTCGGCTCCCTCAGATTAACATTTAGGCAGAGTAATGGTTAAAGATGAATTATTTTAGTTTCAGTAAAATCCTTTTTTTTCTCCTCCTCCACAACAACATTGGATTTCTGTTGCAACACAGGACCAGGAAAAAAAAAACAGTTATGCTACCACAACTGTCATCCCTCACACACTCCACAACTCATTTATAATGACATTCCCTTTGAGGGTTTTAACGAAAACAAACACATCCACACACGATTCAGGCAGAACAATAGCAGTCAGGTGGCCCTAAGAACGCTCTATGGCCAGTAAAGTCGCTGTATACTGATAGTGTATCATAGCTCAAAACACAGCTTGGTAAAGGGACGGTATAGTAACTCCATATGATGGCAGTCAGGGGGCCGAGAGGGCAAATACATTAAGCTGGAGCCAGTCAGTGTGATGGCTCTGTGTAAAGCTTTTTCTATAGCCAACAGATTCAGTCTCACATCCAAAGCCTCACACATGGCTGCTCTATAAAGGTACTATACAGTAGCTCTACTCGTATACAGCCCATGTGGTCCAAAAACAAAGTGCATCAAGGCGCTATTAAACAGAGCGGCTCCTAAACATCGTAATGATCAAATGATTTACTGCCACGGATTACAACCAGACTACTACTTTACGTGATCGCCATATTTAGTTGCCTTTTTCTGCACTTTAGTTGGAAATGTTGATAAGCCCCTATCCCCCAGCAGCGAATGGTTTTGAAGTTGGAACAGCATCAGTCAAAGATAAAAAGAAAACCCTAACCAGGACTATATGAGACGGTCATGAGGCAGAGATCTCAGTGTGTTGGTTGACCAGAAGTAAAGCACATGTATAATTGTGATGAGGAGAGTTAATAGAGGTCACTGGAAAAGCCTCATTAATATTGGCAGAGGTGAGCTTTTGCTTCTGAGAGCACAGGGATTTCTTTTTTTTTTTAAACATCCGTCCAAAACCAGAGGTCAGAATGGTCGATTGATCGTAAAGGAGAATAATACACAACACTGAAGTGAGCAAACACTGATTCATATTTCACAGCTGTCACTAGTGTTATAATAAGCCAGATAGCACTAGCCTCAAATAGTAAATATGAGGAAAAATACTTGGAGAAATGCGATTACCATCATGTAATTACAATAATCCCCAGTGGACGTCTTTTACGAGAAATAATCTGTAATTAGAAGCTGCACAAAATGAATCAGCATTCAGTGTCTCCTCTCATAGATTTCCCTAAACCTAGGATTGGAAACCATTTCCTCCTTGTGTTTTGGCTGTGTGTTTGACCGCATGAAAGTTTATCTAATTTTGGCAAGTAGATATAGTGCATAAAATAATTCATGTCTTTTGAAATAAACACCTTAACGACTTCCTTTTCAAATTAAAACCTAAATACACAGTATGCTTGGAATACTCATCACTTCAGCGGTTTATACTTGACATGTTGTATACTTGACAGTTTTTTTTTTTAATGTTATTTTCTTTTATGGTGGCAACTATAACTGGCTGATGGTCCACAGCCTACTGTACGAGAG